AGGGGGTAACAATGTTCAAGAGGAAGTGTACTCATTACCTCACTCATGTAACTGTAACCCTCTGTATAGTATCTTTACAATAAAAAAATTAAAGAAGAAAAAAAAAAAAGCTGCTCAGGGACAGTTTCCAGGCCTTGAAGGTCAAGTCCCAGAACTGGCCAAAGGAAACAAAAAAACACTATATGTTTAGAGTTCTACCTACTGAGTGTATATAAAAAGAAGGGAATCAGTGTATTGGAGATATCTGCTCTTATATGTTTATTGCAGCACTATATAAATAGCAAAGAAACGGAAGCAACATAAATGATACATGGATAAATATTGTGTATATACACAAAGAAATGCTATGCAGCCAAAAGTAAAGAATAAAATCCTTTATGCTCCTTGGGTTCAATCCCCATTTATTTAAGTAAAAACAAAAACAAAAAGCAGAGATGCAATTATGACCTCTAAAGAGCGAGACGATCCATTGAGGCACGGTTAAAGACAAATTTATTTACACTATTTACACCAGAAAGGGTGCCTGCGACTACTTTGTCCTGAGCTAGATACCCAGAACCAAGAGCAGCCTCGACCACCAAACCTCCAAGCCTCCAATGGGTAGCCCTGACCTATTTATTAGCTGGTCTGCAAACCACAAATTAATCCGTCTGCAAACCTCCAAATCTCAGACCTCCAAAGCTCCAAAGCCCCAAAGGGTAAGGCTTTTCCCTTTCTTCCCTTCCTCCTTCTCTGAAGGCCTCTCCACTCTCCACAGGCCTGCCCTGCTCTGCTGGCGGTGGGGGGATTGGGGAAGGGTCTCTCCACAGGCCTCTCTAGAGGAAGGTCCCAAATGGCCCCTCGAGGAGGCGCCAAATGACCTTATATATAGGCCGCACCCCTCCCCCCACTCCCACAGAACTGTTTCCAACTGCTATTCATGCCCCTCCCTCAAGCTGCCCACTATCCAATCAGTTCTTGATAGCTCGCCATATGGGCCTCAACACCCCACCCCCTCATTAGCATGTCCCGCCTCTTTCTGAGGCACGACACGCCCCTCCAGCACTCCTCAGACTCTAGATACCCCATTCCCGCCCCTTCACCCCACCCCCACCCCGTGGCCGGTCTCATGGACTTTCCTGCCCAGGCTGGGGGTGAGGCTCACCTCTTGATGCCCCGTCCCCTCCAGCAGGCCTGACCACAGAGCCTTGCTGATTATCTGGGCCCTGCTGGTTATTACAATGCCAGGCATCAGTGGCTCATACCTGTAATCCTATCTACTCAGAAGGCTGAGATCTGAGGGTTATGGTTCAAAGCCAGCCTGGGCAAGAAAGTCCAGTGAGACTCATCTCCAATTAGCCACCAGGAAACAGGAAATGGAACTGTGGCTCAACATGGTAGAGCTGAGCGAAAGAGTTCAGGAATAGTGCGCAGGCCCTAGGTTCAAAAAAAAAAAGACATGGTGATACATAACCCATAAACCCAGAAGTTGGGAGGTTAAGGCAGGAGGCTATTGAGTTCAATGCCAGCATGGACTACATAGTGAAACCCTAGCTCAAAAAAGTTAAATACAGCCGGGCGCTGGCGGCTCATGCCTGTAATCCTAGCTACTCAGGAGGCTGAGATCTAAGGATCTCGGTTCAAAGCCAGCCCAGGCAGGAAAGACCGTGAGACTCCTATCTCCAATAAACCACCAGAAAACCAGAAGTGGCGCTGTAGCTCAAGTGATAGAGCGCTCGCCTTGAGCTGAAGAGCTGAGGGACAGAGCCCAGGCCCAGAGTTCAAGCCCCACGACCGACAAAAAAAAAAAAGTTAAATACATGTATAACACACACACACACACACACACACATGCACTGCAATGACCACTCAAGAAGATCAACTTCCTTGCCTATAATAAACAGCCCAAGAAGCTAGTCTGCCATAAGCCAAACCTGTAGAAAGTCAGACTACTAGGAGGGCGATGGTGGCTCATGCCTGTAATCCTAGCTACTCAGGAGGTTGAGATCTGAGGATCATGGTTCAAAGCCAGCCCAGGCAGAAAGTCCAGTGAGACTCATCTCCAATTAACCACTAGAAAACCAGAAGTAACACGGTGGCTCAAGTGATAGAAAGCTGACCTTGAGCTGAAGAGCTGAGGAACAGAGCCCAGACCCAGAGTTCAAGCCCCATGACTGACCAAAAAAAAAAAAAAAAGTCAGACTGCTCTCTAGGGATGATGTAGAGAGAAAACAATATTGACCATAATAATGGGCCCTGAACTAATTAACAGTTTTCCTAATCCTGTCCTTACTTCCAATTTTGGTCCAATCAAAGAAAAATAATACACACACACACACACACACACACACACACACCCCTAGCCTAGAGAGCCCTCAAGGCCAACAGCCTTCTAGCAGAGCACAACTTTTTATCCACTCTCTGCCTTCCTTTGAGTTTCTAACAAATTCAAGTGGCAGTGCCTGACTCTTTAGCAATATCAAATTTTGAATAAATAGCTTTTCTTTTCTTTTTCTTTTGTCGGTCATGGATCTTGAACTGCTGGGCCTGGGTGCTGTCCCTCTGTTCTTCAGCTCAAGACTAGCACTCTACCACTTGAGCCACACAGCCACTTCCGGTTTTCTGGTGGTTTTATTGGAGATAAGAGTCTCATGGACTTTCCTGCGGGGGCTGGCTTTGAACCGCGATCCTCAGATCTCAGCCTCCTGAGTAGCTAGGATTACAGGCGTGAGCCACTAGAGCCCGGCTAGCTTTCCTTTTCTCAATTCTTCATTTATTCCCAATATTTGATCTAGTAATTCTATGAATCACGATCTTCCTAAAGCTCTTTAAAACATTCCTAAGACTTGCATATAACATCTATTTTATTTTAGTAGTTAGTGTACGTCAGTATACTACAGATCTGTCCATCCCAGAGAAGACGTTCTTCCTGGAATGTATAGGTTTCCAGCACCCGAGAAGGAAGGTGAGTGGAGACCGGCACCTGCTGTAGGCGAAAAGAACTACAATTCCCTGCGGCCCTTGCAGCCGGAGCGCCCTAGCCTCAGTGCGCCTGCGCAGTGGCGGTCTAGCGTGGCGGGGTTCCCGCCAATTCTTGGGTTACTCCAGTTTGGGTCAAGTTCTGTTGTCCATGGAGTCGTTTGATCCTGCAGAGCTGCCGGAGCTACTCAAGCTTTATTACCGAAGGCTCTTTCCCTACGCCCAGTACTATCGCTGGCTCAACTATGGCGGAGGTAATGGAGGCTGCACCTGGGATGGGGAGTGGGGGCGGGAGTGTGGAGGGCTCCGGGCCTACGGTCCTCAGATGACTAGGTGAAGCGTCTCCTCGGCGCCAGTCTTTTATGCCTGATGCTTCTCCTGCTCGGTCTTCATCGCGTCCCATAACCTCTGAGGTGCAGAAGGGCAGAGAGTGACTTTACGACCCGCCTGTGGCCAGCCACAAGGGGACTACTTGGCCACCTTCAGAGGCGGGATCTGCCCCGGGGTCCCAAAAAACCCTCCCGAGAGGAGACATTTCTTATTTCTTATAGCAGCGTCTCTTAGTACCCACCGAGGAGAGGCTGGTGACATTGCATATTTAAAGTACTGCATCCCTTTGTCCTCCTTTTCTCTTTTTTCCCTAGCCAGGGTGGAATGGTAAGCGCCTTTCAAATCAGGGACTGAGACCTATCTATTTTCTCCAGTAGAACGGTGTTGGATGCAAAGGATCGTTAAAAATGTCTTCCTAGCCAAGGGCTGGTGATTCAAGCCTGTAATGCCAGCTATTCAGGAGGCTGAGATCTAAGGATCACGGTTCAAATCCAGTCCAGGCAGGAAAGTCTTTGAGACTCTTATCTCCAATAAACCACTCAGAAACTGGAAGTAGCACTGTGACTCACGTGGTAGAATGCTAGTTAGTATTGAGCTGTAGAGCTGAGGGACAGCGCCCAGGCCCAGAGTTCAAGTCCCACGACCGTTTTTTTGTTTTTTTTTTAAGTCTTCCTAAACCGAAGGAACTATCAAATAAACTAAAATGTCCATTTATTTTCCAGTGGTAAAGAATTACTTTCAACACCGTGAGTTTTCCTTCACACTGAAAGATGATATTTACGTCCGCTACCAGTCCTTCAACAATCAGAATGAACTGGAGAAGGAGATGCAGAAAATGAATCCATACAAGATTGATATAGGCGCTGTATATTCCCACAGAGTAAGAATTTTTTAAATGGATTTTGTTGTTTTATTAGCCAAGATGGGTTTTAAAGCTTCAGTTTTAATTGAAGATCCACACTTAACTTTTTTCAAGGGAATCACTGTCTTTTTTATTTTTGTTTGTAACACTATACGTTCCTGATTAGAAGTCATTGGGAAGTGAGTTAGTAGTTGGCTGTATTCTCAACAGGACAAAAAAATTGAATATCTGGATAAAAGGACAAATAAGAAAGTCAACATAGCCAGGCGCTGGTAGCTCACGCCTGTAATCCTAGCTACTCAGGAGGCTGAGATCTAAGGATCACATTCAAAGCCAGCCTGGGTAGGAAAGTCTGTGAGACTCTTATCTCCAATAAACCACTCAGAAACTGGAAGTAGCACTGTGGCTCAAGTGGTAGAATGCTAGCCTTGAACTGAAGAGCTGAAGGACAGCACCCAGGCCCAGAGTTCAAGCCCCATACCTACAAAAAAAAAAAAAGAAAGTCAACATAGCTTGAGAAATATAGAACTGTATTCTCTCCCAGCATTTACAGTTATTCTTGGTTTCTGTCTTTTGCACTTTTATACTGGTTTTATTAGGAAATCCCTTTGATACTACATATATATGTAATGAACTTAGAACTTGAACTCAGGGCCTAGGCACTGTTCCTTAACTTTTTCACTCTGCCACTTGAACCATACCTTTTCTTCCAGTTCAATTTTTTTGGTATAATTGGAGATGGTGTCTCACAGATTTTTCTGTCCTATCTGACTTCAAACCACAATCCTCAGGTCTCAGCATCCTGAGGAGCTAGGATTAAAGGCATGAGTTGCCAGTGACTAAGTTATTATGTTAGATTTTTTTTTTCTTTTTTTTAGTCATGGGGCCTCAACTCGGCCTGGGCTCTGTCCCTCAGCTTTTCAGCTCAAGACTAGAGTTCTACCACTTGAGCCACAGCAACACTTGCAGCTTTTTCTGGTTATGTGGTGCTGAGAAATCAAACCTAGGGCCTCATGCATTCCAGGAAAGCACTATACCACTGAGTCACCTTCCCAGCCTTATGCTAGATTTTTGATGGGCCCTTACAATAACGAACTTGTTTTCTTCAATGCTAAGGAAACTTTTTGGGGTGAGCAGAGGACATTAAGGACATTATATATTTTCATTGCTAGTCCTGGGTCTTGAACTCAGGGCCTGGACACTGTCCCTGAGCTTCTTTTGCTCAAATCTAGCACTCTACCACTTCAGTCACAGCACTACTTCCAGCTTTTTCTGTTTATGTGGTGCTGAAGAATTAAACCTAGGGCTTCACGGATGCTAGGCAAGCACTCTACCACTAAGCCACATTCCCAGCCCCTGTTTAACATAATTTTTGTTATCTATTTTCTCTGGTCTCTTTAAAAGTCCTAAAGTCATCTTTACATGGTGGTGAACACCTTAATCCCAATACTGAGGAGGCTGAGGCAAGAAGGTCATGAGTTCAAAGCCAGCCTGAGCTACATACTAATTTTGTCTGGGCTACATAGTGAGACCCTGTGTAGTCCCTCTAAAAAGAAGAAAAGCATAAATCCTAAAGTCAAATGTTAGACCTTTTGGACTGATCTTCTAATTATACTTCCTATCTTTCTTTTTGCTCTACTTTCTGGTACATTTCCTAAAATTTTCATTTCTACTATACTTTATTGTTTTTTTGTTTGTTTGTTTTTGCCGGTTGTGGGGCTTGAACTGTGGACCTGGGCCCTGTCCCTCAGCTCTTCAGCTCAAGGCTAGCCCTCTACCACTTGAGCCATAGCGCCACTTCTGGCTATTTCTGCTTATGTGGCGCTGAGGAATCGAACCCAGGGCCTCATGAATGCAAGGCAAGCACTCTACCACTGAGCCACCTTCCCAGCCCTCTACTATATTTTAATTTCCAAGAAGTTTTAGTGTGTGTCTGTGTGTGTGGTTTTTTTTTTTTTGCTGGTAGTAGGGCTTAAAACCAGAGCCTCAAGCTCTTGCTCAGTTTTTCTTGCTTGGCTTTTTTGCTCACAACTGGTGTTCTGCCACTTGATCCATGCCTCCAATTCTGGCTTTCAGTGCTTATTTGTAGATAAGTCTCGAGGATTTCTTTGCAAAGGCTGGTTCTGAACCTTGATTCTCACATCTCATCCTCTGAGGAACAAGGATTATGGTGGCTTGAGCCACTAGCTCTCCTGGCAATTTCCAAGAGGTGTTTTTTTGTTTTTGTCGATCAAGGGGCTTGAACTCTGGGCTTGGGTGCTGTCCCTGAGGTCTTCAGCTCAAGGCTAGTGCTCTACTGCTTGAGTCATAGTACCACTTCCAGCTTTTTCTGCTCATGTGGTGCTGAGGAATCAAACCCAGGGCCTCATGCATGCAAGGC